TACTCTCTTCTGCTGAACCCAAATTTAAGGACATCCTTTTCCTTCAGTTCGTAGTATCTCTGTGGCTCAATTCGCTTGTTGTTCAGGAACGTTCCATTGCCTGAGCCAAGGTCAATGATGTAGGGCTTCACCCTGCGGCCAACTGTCCCATCAGCACGGGTATATTCCACAAGCCTAGCAGAGATAAAGGAGAGAAACCTGTGAGTGAAATCCTGCCTCAGATCATCCAGCTCTTTGCTAACACAGTCTAGATGATGTAAATAACCTGGCTTAGACACAGTTCAAGTTCAAACTCTAGGAAGTCAAGGGAAAGGCAGGGCCATGGATTCAGAAATTGGGAGCAAGTAGAAATGGTGAGAACTGGTCACTAGGCAGGGAGGATTCATGGTAGATCAAAGCTTAAAATGCAGAATCTAAGGCCTCTTGCCATGGTTGAGAAATACATTTTTTGCATTTTTTTGACACTTTTTGCATTGTTTATAATCGATATAATGCTTCTCGTACCTATATCTCAACATATTTTAGCTTCTGCCCCAATGGGAATAAACCAGTGGATTTGGACTTCAGAGTCAAGGGAACAGATGAGATGATCAAGACTGTTCAAATCAAAATTGATTTGAGCCAGAGTTCTACTACAGTGATCATTTATTAGGCAAGCCACCTGTCTTTGCTGAGCTTCATATTCTCATCTGTCAAATGGGGTATTAATACCTGTTCTCGCCTCCCCACCGGATTGTTGTGAACATCCAACAATAACAGATGTACTATGGAAACTGTCAAGATACAGATTCGGCTAACATATGCCAGGCACTCTCAGCTTTATTTCCATTTAACCCTCATAACAGCCTTGCGAGGTAGGTAGAAACCGAGGCCCAGAAGACTGGCTCGCCCCAGGACAGACACCTGGTAAGTGGCAGTGGCAGGATTCAAAATCTGGATTTCTGACACCAAGTTCCAGTCTGTTATACAAATGTAAGCAATTATTTGTATAAAGTGATTATTCGTCAGATGAATAATACTCCTTAAGCCTAACACTAGATACGAGGGGTATGGGCTTCTTGTGCACACACAGGCACACAGACCTCAGTAATCCTAACTAACCGAGATGCCGGGCTTCCACTGGCACTTCAGTTTCCCTCTGCAGATGTACACTCACCGGTACTGAAAGACGGCGTGCTGCTTTGAACAGGAGGGGTGATCGATGGGAATGTCTGCGATGCGGCGGTGTCGGCCCAGGAGGTAAGCGCTCTGTCGGTGGATGTACATCACTGGAAGCACCTCATCATTTTTAAAGGGGTAGAGACGCCACCGTTTTTTGGGGATACGTGCTTCCGGGGGCTCGCTGTATTTAATGACTACACCCCGAAAGGTGTTGGTGTCCTCAAGAAGTGCCCCAGAAAGTTCAAAGCTTGGCTTTTCTTTAACAGGCACTTCTTTGTCTTTGTTGTTGCTGCCAGGGCCAGGCTGAGGAAGTGAGTCCTGAGATGCGTTACCGCCGGCTTCGTTCTTCTGGCGGTGCTCCCGGCGCCGGGCGTTGTGAAACTCCCGCTCAGCTTCCTGCGCCTGTAGGTTTTGGGCATCTCGATCCCGTCCCTGAGGCTGCCCGCTGCCGGGCCTCTCTTCCGAGCTTCTCCTCTGGTGGGAGTGGCCACGGTGTCTGTCTCGGTTACTGTTCCTAGCTCGCCTGTGTTCCTGTCCTGAGGGTTCTCGGTGCAGCCGATCCTCCCGGCCTCTCCGGGGATGATCCTCACGTTCCTGAAATTCAAACAGATTCAGGAAAGTAAAGGCAGTGCATAGTCTATGAAGAGAGCTGCAGTCAAAAAGTCATTTGTGCGTTGGACTTTGGCATTCAGAGCAAAATGCCCCACAGAAATAAGGTTACCAGTGGTGGTCATGTCCCCTTGCAAGGCCACCACACAGAACAGGTGCCCTAGGCTGCTGCCCAGCTATAGCGCTAACAGTGCACACCCACGTTCAGAGCCCAAGAAACAAGAACACCTATAGGCAAACTTAGAGGGACATGCATACAGAATCAGAACAGAGAGAGTTAAGTAGTCACATACAAGATAATTACGTAAAAAAAAAAAGCTAGCTTTCTCTTATGCCCAAAAGGAAAATGTAATAGTAATTTTAAAAGATCCGATTTTAATACCCAGAATAAAATTAAGAAATATGCAAGACATATAAGAAACATATAGTGCTCGCTTCAGCAGCACATATACTAAAATTGGAACGATAGAGATTAGCATGGCCCCTGTGCAAGGATGACACGCAAATTCGTGAAGCATTCCATATTTTTAAATTTGTGGGTTTTCTTCTCCTGTTTATCTGCCTTGTGTCAATTTTATTATTAGTATAGCCGTAAGAACTCAAGAGGGGTAGCAACAGTACCATGACAGATTTATCCTGACAAAAATAAACAAGCAGTTAATTTTGAAACATTAAAAAAATAATAAGAAACCTATAAAAATTTACTACAGTTGACCCTTGAATAATGAGGGGGTTAGGGGCACAGGGGCACCAACACTCCAACTAGTTGTAGTTGGCCTTCTGTACACCTGGTTCCTCTGTATTCAAGGGTCCGAATCCACAGATTCAACCAACAGGGGACATGGAGTACTGCAGTATCTACTAGTGAAAAAAAATCTGCATATAAGTGGACCAGTGCAATTCAAACCCATGTTGTTCAAGGGTCAACTGTAACAGATATATTTTTTAAAGATCTGAAAAAAATGAGGAAACATGATGGTTTCTTAAAAAAGACTGAGCATTGAAAATCAGCACAGGGGATAATGGGCAAAGGATATTAACAAGGAATTATCAGAACAAATAAATATTTAAGGAATACACAAAGATAGGCTTACCCTGATTAATCTAATAACTAAAGCATTAGAGTTCAAGAGGGGGGGCCCCCGCACACTATGAGCAAGGCTGCCCCTCCTGGAAAGGGGTAGAGAGGAAATCCTGAGCACCAGGACTGAGACCTTGTCTCCACTCCCCCACCAACCCCACCCCCGGCCTCAAGGCCTTCTCCCTACCGTACACAGGGGTCAAGTAGGGGTCTGCTTGCTCAGAGCAGGACCCAGTTTTCCTAGACTTCCAAGCCTCCAGAGACAAGTATCAAGAGGCAGGGAGCCTCAGACACCCAACCTTCCTACCCCAAGACATTCACAAGTTTGCCACCACCATCTGCCTTGAGTTCACCAGAACTCATCTCATTATGCCCTTTATTCCTGATTAAATGAGTCACTGTAAGAAGTCACAGATTCCAGGTCATCACCTCTACCTCCCTTGTACTCTAATCCCCATAAGGCTCTGTACATCAAGGATTCTGTCCCCAAATCTGTCCCCTTCTTCAACTCCTGAAGCTGTTGTTGCACTATGCCCCCTGGAATGGAAAGCTCGGCAAAACTGATCTACATTCTCCACGTTTTCTTGGATCATTCCCATCTCCTTTCGCTCTAACAGAACCCTGGCTATGCCCTGAGCACACTGCTCCCCTGCAGCTCCTCAAATGGTGGCTGTTTTTCTCCCTCTGACCTCCCCCAACTCCCACAATCTCTGGGTCTGGACATATGGCAGGTGTCATCCTTGCTTCTCACTGGGTCCGGACATATGGCAGGTGTCGTCCTTGCTTCTCACTGCCAATTCCAGAACACGCCCCACCCTTTTCTTTCTCCCTAAAAAACCCAGCTGTGAATCTCACGTAAGACCACTGTCACCCATTACTCTCAGTGCTGCTGTCATTTACTAATCCTGAGTCACTTCCCCTTTGTGCCAGTTTCACTTCCAGCTCAAGTCATTCTCTCCAGCATTACTCTTGGTCATTTCGATAACGTGCTGGCATCTCTGTTCTTTGCATTTCTCTCCTCCCGTTACCTTATTTGTCTCCTCCCTTCTCTTCAGCCACTCACCCCCATGGTTATACACGGACTTTTTCATTTCTAATAACTGCAACCCCTCTATAATTTCAATTTTAAGCGGTCCTCCTTCTGCCCATCTTTTCAGCTCACACTTTACCCAACTCTAACAATCCTTATCCCAGTAAGACTCATCCAAGCCTTCGATCCTCTTACCTTTGCACAGTCCCTTGCTCTCTTCCCTTCCTAACTTAAATTCCATGGTCAAGGGCTTCCCTGGTGGCGCAGTGGTTGAGAGTCCGCCTGCCGAAGCAGGGGACACGGGTTCGTGCCCCGGTCCGGGAAGATCCCACATGCCGCGGAGCAGCTGGGCCCGTGAGCCACGGCCACTGAGTCTGTGCGTCCGGAGCCTGTGCTCCGCAACGGGAGAGGCCACAACAGGGAGAGGCCCGTGTACCGCAAAAAAAAAAAAAAAAAAAAAAAAAATTCCATGGTCAAGCAGTATGATCACTCCCATGTGGAGATATTCAAATCCTTTGCCCCTATGCCATTCTGTTGCACTGTCCTGGCAAAACCACAATCAGCATTAAGCACAGCAAAGTGGCTAGAGAAAAAACACAAACCATTCTGAATGGTCCTACCTTAGAAGCATGACCCCAAGCCTCCTTAATGATGCCCAGCAAACATCCTACATCTTCTTGATCTATTCATTCTCCCAGATGACTGTTTTACCACTTTTCTGTCCTCAAATCTCCTACATGGTCTTCCCCATCCCTTATTTACTCAGAAGGGATTTTCTACATCCACCCACCCATCAGTATCTGTACCCATAGACTCTGTCTTCCCTTCCTGTGACCATAAGGAAACTATCTGTGCTTCTACCTAAAGCCAATTCCTACATCTGGGAGCTTCCCTCTCCTCCAGCTTCATCTCACTCCAGTGATTCCCATCTCTCTTGGGCATAATCTACTTCCCCGTTCTGCACCGGATCATTCCCATCAGCACAGGCACCTGCTCTTCTCTAGAACTCATTTCCCATGTCAGCTTCCACCCTACTTCTTCACTCCTCGTTGAGTAAAACTCCTCAAAACAGTTTGGTTTTAATCAGTCTCCAAGTCTTCTCCCATCTTCTTTTGAACCCTGCAATTAGGATTAGGCTTCACCCTTACTACTCCAGTAAAATTGCTGGTCAAGGTCACCAATGACCTCCATGTTGCTAAATCCAATGAGCAATTCTGTCTTCGTTTCCAAAAAGTGTATACCAGGCAAAATTAGTAGACACTATGGAGAGAATATGACAAATTACAAAACCAGATAACACAAAATAACTAAGATTTCAACATATACTCTCAATTACTGATAAGTAGGATAATATATATTTTTTAATGAAATTCTTTGCATAGAATTACACACACACACACCCCAAAACATAAAGGAAAAGAAGATAACGTTAAGTATAACAGAACCTTGAAGTATAAATATCAAATTATTAAAACGGCTACTTCTGGGGAGTGAGGTGATTTTTTTGTTTGTGGGAAGGGGTGCGATTTTGAGGCTAATGAGAAAAGTAACCATACACTACATAAACCATACTCTCACTTTCTATTTTACAGAATTCTGTGTTATGATGAACAAGCAAATGATAAATTTATTTTTTTCTGAGGTTTCCACAATCCTGTTCCCCTCTTCCTTTTTTTTTTAATTGAAGTATAATTGATTTACAATGTTGTGTTAGTTTCAGGCGTATAGCAAAGTGATTCAGTTATACACACACACACACACACACACACACACACACACACACACACACACACACATTCTTTTTCAGATTCTTTTCCACTATAGGTTATTACAAGATATTGAATATAATTCCCTGCGCTAGATAACTTTATTTTTTTAATGGTGGCTGAGTGGTGCAGAGGAGAATATCTATAAGTACAAGTCATGCTTAAGTCAGAGGCTGTGTGCACTCCTACAATCCAGGTGAAAGTCAATGACTTTCAACTGCCTGTCAAGCCCTCAAACCCTTTTGCTCGAGAGCCATTTCCAAATTTCTAGCTGATTAATACAATGAAATCAGCTTTTTAAGAGATAATTTGAGGTCAGGAGGGAAGTTAGCATAGAAAAGCAAACTAAGACACTTCAAAATAACAATAATCACAAAACAGTTCCATGCTATAAGCCCCAGGATTCACTGTAAAGTGCTGATTTAGAAACCAGAGGTAAAGAACTGCAAGTTGAAAAAGTCAAACGTACATATAAATAAATAAATAAATAAATAAATAAATCAGGGAGTAAAATGGTGGTTACTAGGAGATGGGGGGCGAGAGGGTAAGACTGATGGTATTTAAGGGTACAAACTTGTAATGAGTAGTAAATAAGCCATAGAGATCTAATACACAGTATAATGAATATAGACAATAATACTGCACTATAATGATGTAACGTGGTAAATATTGCTTCAATGGCAATCATATTACAATATACAAATGTATCGAAGTAACACAGCTTTGCACCTTAAATCTACGAAATGTAACATGCCAAAATTATTAAATCAAAAACGTAGCAAGTTGTACATAAACACACACACACACACACACACACACACACACACACAAAATCTACAAGTGGTTTGAGAGGTTCTATCTGGGTACTGGGGTTCCAGTGGCTGCATTCTGAGATAGCCAAGGCGGTGCCTGACCAATTCATATAACAGACCATCAAGACTGTCTGGCTTTGTATCTTTTTAGGTAGCAGACTGTTGGCCCACAGTCTCTCAAATTCATAAGAAAATCCATTTTCTTAATGCCAGTGTCTCTATTTGCACTTTGTAACAAAGAGCTTCTTTAAAAAGAAGACTGAATGCTTGTCCATCAGGACTGAGGGCCTGGCAAGAGCGTCTGCTCTCACTACTCTTATTCCACATAGTGCTGAAGTCCCAGACAGTGCAGCAAGAGAAAATAAAATGCATACACACTGTAAAGGAAGAAGTAAAACTGTGCCTATTTGCAGATGTGATTATCTATGTAGAAAATCCCAAGTAATCTACCAAAAACCTCCTAAAATAAATGAATGAGTTCAGTAAGGTCACAGGATATAAGACAAACATACAAAAATCAATGATATTTCTATGTACTAGCAATGAACAAGTAAACAATGAAATTTAAAATATCACTTACAGTCACTAAAACAAATTACTTAAGTGTAAATCTGGGGGCTTCCCTGGTGGCGCAGTGGTTGAGAGTCCGCCTGCCGATGCAGGGGACACTGGTTTGTGCCCCGGTCTGGGAAGATCCCACATGCCGCGGAGCGGCTGGGCCCGTGAGCCATGGCCGCTGAGCCTGCGCGTCCGGAGCCTGTGCTCCGCAACGGGAGAGGCCACAACAGTGAGAGGCCCGCGTACCAAAAAAAAAAAAAAAAAGTGTAAATCTAACAAAACACGTATGGGACTTGTACACTGAAAACTACGAACACTGATGAAAGAAATCAAAGAACTAAATAAATGGAGACACACCTACGTTCATAGACTAGAAGACTCAATACAATAATAATTTTAAAAACCCGACTCACCCCAAAATACAAGTTTAACACTATTCCAATCAAAATCCTAACAAGATTTTTTTTTAATAGATATAAACAAGATTGTTCCCACCTTATAGTAAAACAAACTTAAAATAGACCAGGGACTTACATGAAAAACATTAAGGAAAAAACAAATCTTCAGGATCTAGGGCCAGGGAAAAAGTTCTTAGACATGACACCAAAAGCATAATCTACAAAAAGAAAAATAGATAAGGTGGACTCCATCTAAATTAAAACTTTTGCTCTGAGAAAAATCCTGTTAAGAGAATGACCAGAAAAGATACAGACTGGAAGAAAATACTGGCAAACCACTCACCCCAAAAGGCCTAGTATCTAAGAATATTAAAAAAGAACTCTTAAAACTCAATAGTAAAAAAACCCAAATAATCCATCTAGAAAATAGGGAAAAGATCTGAAGACACATGTCACCTGAGAGGAAATGCAGGTGGCAAATAAGCGCATGAAAAGATGTTCAATATCATTAGCCACTAGGTAAATGCAAATTAAGATCACAATACCACTATCCCACCTGTAAGAATGGTTAAAATTAAAAAATGGTGCCAGTACCAAATGCTGGATCACTCACATGACAGGTGGAAATGTAAAACAGTACAGCCACTGTTATGGACTGAATCGTGCCCCAAAATTTATATGTTGAAGTCCCAACCTCCACATCTTAGAATGTAACCAAAGTTTTTGTAGATAAGCTCTCTGAAGAACTGATTGAGTTAAAATGAGTGAGACCCTAACCCAATACGGCTGATGTGGTTGAAGGAGGAGCTAGGAGCCAGGGATAGCCCAGAGGGAAAGGCTATGTGAGGGCACAGTGGAGAAGGCAAGCCAAGGAGAGAGGCCTCAGGAGAAACCAAACTGCTGAAACTTTGATCTCGGACTTCTAGCCTCTAGAACTGTGTGAAAATTATAGGTTCCGTTGTTTAAGGCAGCCAGTCTGTGGAATTTTGTTATGGAAGACCTGGCAAACTAACACAGCACTCTGGAAAACAGTTTGGCAATTTCTTTAAAAAATTAAACACACAACTACCATACCATCCAGCAGTTGCACTCCCGGGCATCTGTCCCAGAGAAAAGAAAACTTACGTTTGCACAAACACCTGCCCACAAATGTTTACATAGCAGCCTTATGTCTAATAGCCAAAAAGCTGGTAACAACCCAGATATTCTTTAATGGGCAAATGGTTAAATCCACACCACTGAATACGACTCAGCAATAAAAAGGAATGAACTATGGAGAGAGGCAACAACCTGAATGAATCTCTAAAGAATTTTGCTGAGTGAAAAAAGCCAATCCCTAAAGGCTTGTACTGTGAGATTCCATTTACACAGCATGCTTGAAGTGACAAAATTATAGAAATGGAGAGGAGATTAGAAGCTGCCAGGAGTTGAGGGGTAAGGGTGGGAGGGAACTGGGTGCAACTATAAAAGGACTACATGAGGGATCCTTGTGATGGAAATGTTTTGTTCCTTGACTGCACTGATGTCAACGTTTTGACTGTGATACTATTCTATAATTCTGTAAGATGTTACCATTGGGAGAAACAGCCACTTCTGTATTATTTCTTACAACTGCATGTGAATCAACAACTACCTCAAAATAATAGGTTTAACTTAACAAAGCAAGCAGGAAAAAAAAAACAAACCCAGTTTTTAGAAAAGCCCATCGCAAGTACAGGAGAACACATACACAACACTTTTTTAGCTATGATGGGACAGGCTCTAGGTTTGGGGCCAGTATGAAAACATCTCAATCCACTTACCTGCTTTACTTTGACCGTTGAGTGGTGGGGACTTCGGCTTCTCTTACTCCGGGGAGACTTGCTTCTTCTCCCTGAGGACTTGTTTTTCTTTCTGGCTGGAGACCTGTTCAGAGAATGATACACGCAGATTTTATCTCAATTTTCATTCCCTAATACAAATTAGCTTCAAGTATCAGGCCTACCTACTAACACAAACACCACATTTGTGCAGGTCTCTGCTGATCACACTAAAGGAGTAAGGAGCTTCATTTTTCTAGCCCTAATGTCTTCCACATACATAACTGCCTGATGGAACTTCTCACATAGATGACATAACTCTAGATTCCCATCCCCTCAAGAAACTTTCCTCTGTCTTTGCCATCTGGGTAACTGGCGCCACCCCATCCACCCTGTTCCTCAGGCCAAAAACCTAGAAGTCACCCTTGATTCTTTTTCTCCTCACCACCGGCAGCCCCCCACGCTCCTCTCCCACACAATCACACTCAATCAATCAAATCAGCAAGTCCTCTGGCTCTATCTCCTCCGTCTCCCATCTCATTCCAACCACTCTCCTTGATCCCTGTACTGGATCCACCCCCCCACCCCCCATTTCTAGAAGGAACACAATTGATTCCACTTCAAGTTCTTTGCACAGGCTATATTCCCTCTGCCTAGATCTTTACAAGGCTGGATTATTCTTACCATTCAGGTCTCAGGTCAAATGGTGGACTTTTCAGAGAGTGGTTCAGGGAGAACCGTTTCCCTCTACCCACTCACTATCACATTACTGTTTTAACCTACCCCTAATACTTGTTACTAACTGAAACTTCTTTTTTTTTTTTTTTTTTTTTATTTGCTTGTTATTTTGTCTCAGAGCTACAGCACGGTCAGTTTCACCAGGGTAGAGATCACCTATGGTGTTCATCCTTGCCGCCCCAGAACCTAGGACGGTCTTCTTTTTTCTACATATACATATGTATATTTTTTAAAGTGTTACATAGATATTTTTCCACATTATTTTATAACCTACGATGGTCTTTAGCACATAATAGGTACTCAGTAAAACTACGTCGAATGAATTAATAAATGAACGAGCCTAACAAGAGACAATATTTTTCCACAGAATATTAGATCGCCTAGGCCCTCGATATGTAAACTTCTTGGGGCAGATAACTGAAAAGATAACTCCCGCACTCCGTTTGCAGACAAATGGGGAAAATCTTTCATTTCAACTTAAACGATCATTGCTTAACGAACAACTTAAACTGGACCATACCTGGTGAAATGCTGGGTACCCAGAAATGGAGGGACGAGATCCTGTCCAGCAGGCATTAGGCGCTTAACGCCCAGCTATTACGCAAGTGACAGGTACAAGAGTAAACGTTCCTTAACACAAGCACGTAAACGATCACTTCTATCGCCTTAGGATTAAGTCCAAGCTGCAGCGCTCAGCGTTCAAGGTGTGTTTCTGGCTCTAGCCCTGTCCTCCCTTCTCAATGAACCCGACCTAAGGTCCACCCCGGGCTGCTTCTCACCTACCGGCTACCTCCTCGGGCTCGGTTCCCGCGGTGACTCGGGCGGCCCGACTCGCCGGCCGGTGGGGACGGGCTACCGCCGGAGGAGTCCGGGCGGCGGTGCACGGGAGGCGCGGATTCCGGGCTGAGGCGCTCCTGCTTCACCACCACCGCCGCCGCCGCCGCCACCATGTCCCCGTCCCGGTGCCTTCGTCGGCTCCCCCGATCCCGCTCGCTCTTCACCTCCTTCATACTAAGAGACATGCGGAGCCCGAAGAAAAAGACGTCCGAAGCACTCCTGTCCCCGAAGGAAATGACGGACCTGACTCTAGGACTTCCGCTTCCGAGTGCACGCTCTCCCAGAAACCCTCGCGGCGGAGATAACGCGATACGATTCCGGAGTGGGAGGGGCCTTAGTGACCCGACTCGAGAGGCAGGAGATTTAAGTTTCTAAAGAAAACTTTTGTGAAAAAGCTACTCTCAAGGATGTTTGTTGCCCTGTTATAGTAATTACGGAGCACAGAGACAACCTACATGCCCAGCGATAGGAAAGATGTTATGTCGCCATTCGCAATGCTATTTACAAACTATATGACAAATGGAAAAAACCCTGGCTTGTTAAACGAAAGAAGCAAGATACAAAATTGTGCGCAGCGTGTGATTACATTTACGTTTGGGAAAGGAAGAGGAAAGAGGAAGAGAAGGAAATGCAATCACAGATGGTAGCCCGTGGGCAAATCATTAGTATTTCCCCTCTGTTCTTGCGCTTTCTGTTATGTTGTCATTTCTCCACTTACTTAAAAGCCAATACTTTTTAAAACCCGGCAACTTCAGATGCCTTCCTCTGGGAATCTTCCCCAACCCTTCGCTGAGGAGTCAGATGATTCCCATTTTGAAAATGACAAAATTGAGGGTCAACGAAGGTGATCTGCACCTAATTCAAATCACGAGCTAGACGCAGCACAGGGATTCAGAACTGATGTTTTTCCCTGCTTTCAAGAGTACCAAGACGACCCGGTGAGCAAGTGGCCTGGGAAACTAAGCTAAGAGATCCTTCCGCGAAGGCTAAGCAGAAACTCTCGCGCTGCTGGCCCCGCCCCGCCC